TTGAGTTCGTGTAGCATATGCAGCTACTAACTTGAGAAAATAAGGGACATTATACTTCAGAGAGCAGTACCCTTTGAAGATCACCCTGCTGCCTCAAGGAAGAGAGAAATAGGGCTTCAGGTGGAGGCAAAACAGATCAGATGGCTTGATAATTTCTTCATTGATATTCTACCAGGCAATAGTATGTAAATGAAGGGATATGTTTTCAAATTTGCAGTAATGTACGAGGATTGTGCTCCATTTGATCAAATGTGCTGGATTCAAAACAGTCCTAAGCTCAGCAAATGTTATCTTCAGAGTGCTTCTTCTGTGCGCAGAAATGACACTTGTACACTTCCATCAATAGTCCAATCACACGCCTAATTGCGGTGTGTTTACATTCAAGGTGATGGCCCTGTAGCCAGTGCGAGAGAGACGCCTAGGCGACTATCAAGAGAACAGCTTTATGTACTGATATCAGCAGCTTCTGTGAACTTAGGTTCCATGTTGTGCTATTCTATCCTTGGACCCTTTTTCCCCAAGGAGGTAAGACATTTTTATATCCTTGTGAGCTCTAATTTTTAAAAAAGACTTTTGAATTATTTCATTTTACAGTATGTAAAATGTAAAAATCTGCATATAGTACAGATAATGTATAGAACTTCAGCCAACAGAGTACTTCTTGTAGAATGCTTGATACCAGGAAAAAATATCCAGTCAGAAGGAACATCCTCTTGGGAGGGAATTCACCAAAATATAATTGATCTTCTGAGGATTACTTTGCTTATCATACAGTTTGATTAATCTTTATTTGGTTTCTGCAACTGAAAAAAGGGAGTTCACTGAATCACTGAGATTTAAATGTTATTGCAAAAGTCTATGTTAAGACAGTAACTCTCTGCAGGAGTTTTTGGTTTATTAATATTTTGGAAGTTGTGATTTACTGAAACCCCTTTATGACTTGAATTTTTTTTTCACAAATGTAACACAGGATTAATGTCTTCAATATATAAAGAGTTTCTGACTTGAATTTTGTATGGACTGTAGCGGCATGTTTACACAAAGGAGGAATTCTGATTAATAGTGCCTAGTTCCCTCTAATCATACATAGTCTTTTATATAGTGTTAGGATCTTCAGCTAATGGCACAGACTCAAAGAGAATAACCCCTAGTGAGACCAGTTGGATTCTGGGTGTGAATGGCATATAATATGACATGAATGGGACTGGCTTGGGTGAATGTAAATAATATGCCCATGTGTTTTATTTTGTATTCTTTGCCAAATACTTGGCTCATAATGCACTAGCAGCTTCTCAGTCCTCTAACTGCTTTGATAACATGTAGTCTTTCATTCTGTGTGCTACAAAAGAGGATAAAGTGGCTTCTCTACTAAAGGAGCAATACTGCTCTGTACTCACAGAGTACTCCCTAGTTTTCAGTGCACATTTCCACTCATCTTTCTATTTGGTTCCTGCAACTACCCCATAAAGTAGGTAGAATAGTGCGAATCTCATCATGTTGCAAATGAAGAAACAGTTTCAGAAGTTGTGACTTCCCCAATTCAGTTCTATTAACTAGAGGTTCAGTGAGTTGCAACTCTAGAGTGTGCTAGGCATTGGCTGTGTTAGGGCAGAAAAAAAAAAAA